GGATTTCAAGACCAACAAAATTAAGTGCAATGCAGAGCTCAGCCTAAAATAGGATGTACCATTATAATCAAAAGAATATATTTTATGTACATTGAGTTGCACTGAGTATATCCTCAAGGTGTTTATTGTTATATATAGCTTAAAATATACTCTATATCTTCATTTTCCCTACACCTTTATATTATAAATAATGTTAAAAAATTCCCACAACTGATTGCCCAATGATTTAAGGCTTTAAAGCCAGACAAAGTGGCTGCCAGCAGCGACAACGCGGCGTATACGCAATGTTGGCCAAGAACGATGAAGGCAACAATCGCCCAACGAGTCTAATGAATGCCCAACTATGGCCAGCTGGGCCAGCACAGCCCAACCAACTAACCTGGCCTCCATCTGAGGCAGGAGGAAATATACATTATGGTGGCTGGGAAAGCGTAGCGGTTGAAGCAACTTATTAATATGCAGAGCAGCCAGCAGGTGTCTTTGCTACCGTTTTATGCCACAATTTGCGCCACGTGCGGCTGCTACTGGTGCTGCTGCTACTGCTGCTGCCGACAAGGCTTTAATAATGCTGCCACTCGGTTGCGTTCGCTTGGCTTGGCCAAAACGATTTCTTTGCTCAGCTGCAGCTCGAAATTAACAATTCGTAGCTCATTTTTCTGCCAGCGTGATGGGCGCAAAGAACGCAGGATGGGGATGGAAGGACCTCTTGCAGCGACAATTAGTTGAGTTATTGGCAGCAAGTTGGTCCTGTGTTATCCTCCAAACCACCCAAAAACTTTGGTCCAGACCAAAGTAATTTTGTAAGCTGACAAATAGCAATCACGGGAGTAACACCCGAGGAGAAATTTTGGGGGTTATATTAACAAGAAATATGTGAGTTTGGGACATAGCAACTTACTTAACTTTCTGACTAAAATTGTGGTAAATTTAATTACAAAAATAACTAGTGGTACTATAATTTTTATTACTGAAGTATTACTAAATTTCACAAAGTATAAATGAACCACTTAGCTTGGGTGTATTCTGGAATATTTCCTAGGCTCTCTCACATGTGGGATGTTGATCGGCTTGTTAGCTGCTCATGGCGTCCTGCTACTTTTCATCTGAAAAACCCTACCCACTTCTATCTCCGGACATAGTTGGGCAAAAGGATTCAAGGCGGCTTCTGTCAACGCATAGTTGAGGGCCGGACAATGGCAGCAGGTGCAGCAGGTACAAATGCATGTGCAGAAGCAGGAGTTTAAGCCAGCAACCACATCCAACAACGGACGGATGCTCATATGCTACCAGTTCCTCTGGCAGGTCGACATACCTGGCCGCAGGCCAACTGCATAGTGGACTCGACTCTTCTGGTCGGTCAGTCAGTTGGCACAAGGGCCAGTAGCATGTCATAGTTGCAAGAGGAGGAGTGGAAAGGAGGTAGCAGGAGCAGGATCCAGAGGGGTAGCAAGCCGGAGGACCAGTAGCAGTACCATCACAGACAGAAGATGAGCACTGAGCAAAAGTAGCAATATTAGGACCAAAATCGAGAGGAGAGAGGAGCGAGGTAGAGGGGTAGCAATCCCAGCAATCCACAAATTGACTGCTGAACATGTCAAGTGATTGTTTCGTCATGTGTCCACTTGGTCTGAGAAGGCCAATTGAATCAATGTCTAAAGTAAGCCAGCTCAAGCGATTTCAATTGCCTGAAATATGATTTAAGCTTAATATATGCCATTGAGTACACTATATATTCAATTTATACCAATATTAGGAAAGTTTTAAGCCCATTTTAGTCTTATTTTCTATTTTAATTATGAAATTGTTTAATTATTTAGTACAGTATTAAAGAATTTATTTATTACTTTGTAATTGAAGTATGAATCTAGTACACCATTAAAAAAGTATATACATTTCTAGGCAATCAATCGTTTTCCAATTAAGTTGAAAGCCAACAGCTTAAATGGATATAGGTAAACACAAAAAAATATCGGATTTTCAATCTTTTATTTGTCAACAGTTTCAAATGACATTTTCATTAGGCTTTCCTTTTTTATGGCCTCTCTGTGCGTATACGTAACGCAGTTTAGATGAGCAACTTATTGCACATACGCCGTGGTGGACCTACCCCATCCTGAGTATTCCCACGATTCGTTTTTTGTGGATATTTTTTTCCAGCTGCCCTTTTTCGGTAGTCACGGTTGTGTCTGACATTTCTTGCTACCACCTCCTCTGTTTTTTTGTTGCAACGAAGGGGAATTCAACTCTGACTGCCACTGTAACCTGCACCGTTTGGCAGCAGCAGCGGCAGCGGCACGAAGAGGAAGCTATAAACCTGCTCAATGCACAAGGTTTCGCAGCAAGGGAAATGTCAACGAAAGCTACAAAAATGCAAAATACATTGGCGGATAGGAAAAAAAAAACCCCAGAAACTGAAAAAGAGATGTAAAAGCGAAAAACAAAAATGTTTCGAGCGGGTGGGAAATGTGAGGGAGAATTCACGCCAAATGAAATCTGCAACGAGTCTGACGCATTTAGCTGTCAGTTTGTCTTAGCGACTCGGTCGTGGTCGTGGTCGTGGGATATGCCGTCGTCATGTCTCATTGTGCTCCTCCAGTTCCGATTCCGGCGAAAAGGAGTAGCCAAGGTTTCTACCAACGGCAGGAGCAGAGGAGGCATCCAGATGGTTATCCAACCGAACCGGGGACGAACCAAAACTGAAGCGGAGCAAAACGCAATGCGCGTAAAATAAACAAATTTCCGCAGACGACACTCAACTATGCAAACAGTAATTGGAGCAGGCAGCGGATGGGAGGCGGTTCAACCCAAAGAGTTTCAGATGCTGGCTGGCTGGTGCTCAGGTAAAACCTGTAGCCAAAACCAAAAACTGAAACTGAAATTCAACGGAATAAAACAACGGCAATGGAGAGACAACTTATAATATCCTGCAAGCCTCTAGGATACTCTCATCTACATATTCTTGTAAAGAAACATATACATTATTGACTTTAAAAACGAAAAGGAGTTATAATATATTTGCTATACTTAATGATAATATTTCAAAACTTTTTTCAAAAACCAATAGCAACATTACACCCAAAGCTCTCAGCATTTACAGGGTATGCATAGAACTGCCGTAATTCAACGCTAACGAAGGTGAGCGCCAGGGATGGTGGTAGAAGCTCGGCAGGATTCACAGGATTCGCGCGGGATTCACATAACGCAAGTCAGTTGGAGGTACAGAAACAGACTTCCTGCGGGAGTTCGGAGGCGGCAGAGAGAAATGTTCCAGCAAATGCAATATTGTTATACTGTAATGGTATAAAATATATGCATATGTTTTACACAGGCTACAGGATGCTGCAAACGAGACATAACCGGAGGGGTGGAACAGGGGAGGAACGGAAGTAAGGAGATCAGAGGAAGGGAAGGCAGGAAGTCGTTGCTTTGTTGCCTCTGTATGCGGAAAATTAAAGAAAACAACAACAACAACAAGCAGCCCGAAAATCGCTGGCGGAAGGCATTCCGGCAAGAAAAGTACAAAGCGAATGGGTAGAAAAAAAAATGAAAAACGGGAATGAAAATTGAATGAGAAACACAATTCCCATTTTGTCTCTGGCTACGAAATAGATCCGGTTACTTGCACTGGGTTTCTGACTCTTCGGGAATCAAGGAGATACTTCCATCGCTATCTCTCCATGCGATGAGTTTCTGATTCCTTCGGAATAAATGAGCAATTCCCATCGCTACCTCTCCTTTCATTAAAAGATGCAAGGCACTTGAAGATCTCCTGTTGAATGTGCATACAATAACTTAACAACATGCAATTTCGTTACAGCTTGGAAATACAGGATAAAATTGTAAGGGAATATATATTACATTGTTGCTTTCATTAATTGGAGTATTTTATCTCAAGACCTACCTTTGAATCTGCATACAATAACTTAAGAAAGACCAATTTGTGGACGGCTAGGAAATACAGGATGCGATTTAATGGGCATTTAATTGAAATTTTTGACAGTACATTGTTGCCCTCGTTTATTTGAGCAGTTTTTCTTAGTTATTTTAACCTCAAGAAAGGCAACCCACAATACATGTATATAGGATATAAAAGATGTAATGCATTGTTTATTATATAAATATATAAATTTTGTAGCAAGTTTTATTAAAATTAAGACAAGTTTTCCGAGCAAACCTAATACATGTTTTCCTTTTCTAAAACAACACTGAAGTGTCATTGGTAAATATCACCTCACTAATTACTAGTACATTTTTTTACCCAGGTTAATACCCATTAGTTAGCCTTATCATACAAATTGGTATGAAATGGTAAACAGAGTAAAGTGAGGGAGAAAGAAATGCAAGTGGAAAATCCAATCAAGTTAGTCTAATTAAAACGCCTGGAAACAAACTCAATCACTGAACGTTTCTCTAGGGTCTCATTATATAAACTTTGTTTTTTCTTTTTCCCTTGGCTTTGTACATATTTTCTTTTCGTTTTTGCTTTTTTGGCAAACATAAACAAAGCCGAAAAGGGCTAGGAATGGACAAAGGAACCGAAACTGTAAACTATGCTAATAGCCAAATAACCAACAGCGGAAAGAGCAAAACCAAGAACAAAATCGGTATAAATACCATTTAAAATAGAGAATGTAATTAAGAATTAGTAACAATGCAGCAGTAAACCAATTATATAAGGTGTAAATGAAATTAAATTAAATTATTTTAAAAGTTTAAAGGTCCTGTTGATCTTGAATTAATATTAAGAAGGACGAAAGCAGTACGGGCCTGGGTATCATTCCTATTACATTTAACGAATAGATTTTAAAATAATTTGAAGAGTAAGACCCTTATTAAGTAACAAACTTCTGGGTAGTAACAAATAATTTGTTTGGGTCTTATACAAAATCTACATTAAATAGTGCGTAAAGTTTTATTTATTGTATTTTACTTTTATTTCTCATTTGATTAAAATATAGATAAATTACGCAAAAATTTGGACATCAAAGTAAACTTGCCTTAGTTGTTAAACTTTTTTTTAAGATTTCAAGAGAATATCGATTTCTAGTGCTCCGATTCCTTAGCCGAGAACGTCCTTTCAAATGTCAACAACTTCAAGTATCAAATGTAAAAGAATGAAGAAGTCCTGTGTAACTTACACTTCAATATCTCTCTTCTTCCTGCTGGGTGGCATTTGGTTTGTTCTGCGTATTCAAACTCCTCAGCCACAACTAATTCGTATTAAATCACGAAGACCACTGGAGATTATGAGCAAGAATCTGCTAGTGAACACCTCGTACTGCAAAATGCAAACCATGGATCCCACGTCGCCCATTGCGAAATACTTTATAAGACCAATACCGTCTCATTCATGCCACTTGATCCAAGTACTGATGCCAAAAACAATTGGTGGTAGGAACTTCCTATACCTAGCCGTTAGTAAAACTAAACTTTGGAAGTATTACGGAATTCGAAGACTGAGTGAAATCCTTTGCGCCTACACCAACTTTGAGAGAATCGATGACTTTAATAATCGTTACGTAGGACGAACAGTATTTCGGTTTAGCAAGTGGCGTAATTACCAGGAGATCAAACCGAGGAATACATCTATAAGAGTCTGGTGTTGGCGCGATCATGGTCGTATCCTCTACCATGATGTATTCATGTTCCTGTCAGAACCAATACCTCCAAAAAAGAAAAAGAAGCTAAGACCGGAACTCGCAAATCGTCTTTCTGTCTTGATCCTGGGTATTGATTCCATATCCCACATGCACTACCGCCGACATTTTAGGTAAATAAACTTTAAAATTTGCATCAAAATAAATATAAAGAATACATAAAGTTCCGCATTAAATTTGCAGCAAAACAATGAAGTTTTTGGACAAGTTAACACATACAGAAATGTGGGGCTATAATCGTGTTGGTGAAAACTCCTACCCCAATTTGGTGCCTTTGCTGATCGGTGAAAATGAGACAATAGTGAATGGTCCTACAGGATGCTATGGGGCAAGCGAACCTAAATGTTTCGACAAGTGTTATCTACTTTTTGACTTATTCAAGGCGGCCGGCTATGCCACAATGTTCGGCGAAGACTCATCCTCAGCTGGAACCTTTGTATATGTATCACATGGCTTTCAACGTCAACCAGCTGACTTTTACCTGCGAACCGCCATGAATGAGATCGATCAGAAAACTAGCTACAAGGCATCGGGTGCTAACTCCATTTCATGTACAGGTGGCAGGGCATATACCCAAGTTTTGAACAAATTTAGGTACAGCCTTCTGCCACATATGGAGGCTAGAAGTCAAGATACTGGATTCTTTGGCTTTTTCTGGCAATCACACGGCGTTCATGACTACATTTGGTATGCAGAAATTGCAGATGTGATGTACGAAGCCTATCTGAGGGAAATGTATCGACGACAACTATTTAGCAAAACCTTTGTACTGCTGATGTCCGATCATGGCTTGCGATTTGGTAAATTTAGTGCGACGCTTCAGGGGATGAGGGAAATATCGCTGCCAACGGCGATCGCCATTTATCCGCGTTGGATGGTCAGGCGATTTCCATTAGCAATTGAAAATCTCAAGGCCAATGCCCACCGACTGATTACCACGCATGATTTGCACGAGACACTGAAGGATTTGACCAATTTGGAGAACTTGAAAGATGAGAACATTCGAAGAAGGACTCAGCAACTACGCAATGATCGCAATGTTTCATTATTTCTCCCAATTCCCGAAGAACGCAGCTGCAGTTCCGCTGAAATTCCAGAGCATTATTGTGAGTGCGATAATTATGTTAAGATTTCAATCAAACTGGATAGTGTCCAGCATGTAGCCAGATTTGTTGTGGATAGCATTAATGAGATGGTGGGTTCTTATACCAAGTGCCAAAGATTGCAACTAAGTCATGTGGAGGATGCCTACAAACGGGAGCACAAGGAGTACATCACTGTGCGGCTGGTAACTCAACCTGGTGGTGGTCATTTCGATGCCACGGTTCTTCATGATCATAACAAAACTTTCCTGCAGGGAAGAATCACCCGAACAGATCGATACAAGGATCAATCTTATTGTATAGAGAAATCATTAATCCAACAATACTGCTACTGTTTGTAGCTTAAATTTTTGATAATAATTGAATACGATAAAATATATCCAAAAGTTAGAAATGCAAGTCCTGAGAACCTCCTGCAAAATAGTAGTGACAAAAACTAACATTACTTTGGTTCCCTGCAGAGCCAAAGTAGCCTGGCATTAGGATAAATGACTAGCAAATGTGTTTAGATTTGTCTTAATTTCATTCACCACACATAAACACCCGAGCACTTAACCAAAGCTGTTTTTCCACTACACACTGTCAACAGATGGCACAAAGAGGAGAGGAATGTGGATGTGGAGATACTGCGAGTGTGCGACTGGCACACATATGGCGGGCATAAACATTTGTCGTCGCTCTGCTGTAATTAATAATAATTTGCATTCACAGTTTGCAGTTCAGCGCCCCGTGCGAGATTTCATTTTAATTAAATTATGTGCAGCCTTGTCGGGGGTGTGCGGGTGTCCATTTGTCCCTCTGCGAGTGTGTGTGCATGTGGTGTCTACTCGGCGGTTAAGGAGGCGTGGCTGATAATGCCAACTACAAGATAAAGCCTGGCAGGGGGTTGGGGCGAACCTTACTGGCAACATGCAGCATGCATAAATTATTAGCGCTATCTGCTGTCATTTAAGGGTTCGCCTTAGTTTAGTTAAATTCAACTCAGTGTGTGTGTAGGGGTGTGTGTGTCTACCTCCTGCAACACACACACACACAACAATGGCAATAATGCCGGAGCCAACAACGATAACAATATTATCAGCTGCTGCCACAACAAGCAGTCAAGTGGTGGCGAAAGTAAGTATATAGCAACCTGCATGAGTGACGGCATAATTTGTTAGTTTTCATTATAAATATTTAAGCCATGACTGTTCATTAAGCTCTTAAGCTCACATTTATACATTATGCCATTAACAAAGTTTTAAACATATTTAAAATCGTGCACGCAGAGGATAAAGCAACATAATTTGCTTGAGGCTTAATCAAATTGTTTGTTATTAAACTTCTATGATACAAGTTTGTGGCAAAAACACATCAGTTATTGTTTTCCTATCCTTTTTTTTAACCCCTAACAAATTGATATTTAATAAAATATAAGTTTACACAAAAGTTTTCCTAGTTTCTGTCACTTTTTTCAACCTTTCATTCATCTCTGCTTCATAGCTTTCATAGTGCAACATGTCGTATACTTAATATCACGCATACGACCCGTTGACGCTTGTTACATCACTAAGCACAAACTTCATTTTGGAGAACAGATGACCCTTGATGCCATGCCATGAAGTGGCAGAAATGTGAAAAGGACCCAAAACAGAGCGGGTTAGCGAGTTCGAAGGGAAGCTGGGAGTCGTGGCAAATGCCATTAAGAGCTTTTGACCAGAACGCGCCGTAAATCAAGTCACTTTAATTCAATAACAAGTTCCCCAGAGTGGCCCATAGGTTCCACTAAACCACCCCAAACCATTTGCTTCGCCCTCCTCCCTACATTTTCCCCCCTTTGAGTCCGGCGCAATGTGCAGATGTTGCCATTTTGGGGCCCGGGCCGTGGACATTGATTTCGTTTATCTGCGATGCCAAATTATTCATTTGGACCCACAAACAGCCACAGCAGACACAGAGAGGGAGATATACATACGTACCTATATATTTAGGGAGTGAGATAGAACCATAGAAGCAATATTGGTTAGCCCCAACCATTTTGCTGGCCAAGTAATTTGGCACAATTTGATTTCGAGTTTGGACCAAAATAATGGAGCCAAACTTTGGCTGCCTTTTGGCATTTCGAATTGTCTTCGACGTAATTCAAATGTTTTTCTTTGAGGCTTTGCTGCTGCTGGTGACGGTGATGCTGTGTTGTTGCCATTTAATTTCCATTTGGTCTAAATGCCCATTCAACCTTGAACAAGTTTACACAATGCTAAATAAATTAGACAATAGACAACAAAAACTTTCAAACTCTGCTCAAGTGTCAAGCAATTGTTGAATTTATGCTTTGCATTTTCCCTCCCCTCTTAGATTTATTTGGTATGCAAATCTAAAGCACAATTAATAGCAATTATGGATGATTGAAAGTGGGAGATGGGAAAGAATGACTGGGAAGGAAGGACGGAGACAAATGTGGTACTTATTTTACCATTTTCCTGCATAATTATTGTTATTTATTGTTCAAGTATTTATTACTTACTTCCCCAATTGAGATTTATTACGGCAAAGATGTTTTGTCATCTCGTCCTTTTCTGTACAAAATTGAATAAATCATAAGGTTGTCAATTCATTCGAGTAATTTTGAGCGGCTGAATATTGATTGGATTGATGAAAAGTTCTCTTTTGATAAGTACATGTGTTTGATTTGCCTGATTTGATATGATGGAATTTTAAATGTGATGTGCAAATTTGTATATTTCATTTTTCATTTTTAAATGAGATGTAAACTGCTATTTGCTTTACGCTCCACAAATCTTTAGTATTTGATATTCAGCAATCAGTCTTCTGATTATATGTAAATATTTTATTCAATTATATTTTCACCAGTAAATTTTAAATTAAATTCTGGACACCAGAATGACTGCCTTCAGTGGACAACTGAATGTTTGACCAATTGTGGTCAAACACCGGACACACTTGACTTCTCAGCAGAGAAACACACACTGGGATTATGATTTAAGTAACCGCAGCAGCTGTAGCAGTTGTAGCCACCAAAAGGACGAGTTTACCCCCCTTTCGGAGTCTCCAACAGATTCGGCCACAATGGTTTTGGCTAATCGCACTGTCATTGCGTTAACCGCATTTCGTTTATTTGCCGCATTGCATTAAATGGCCAAATCAGCGGGTGGAAAACGGGTCCCAAAATGGCCGGGTGTTGGCATTTCAGAACGATAAGAATGCAGGAGGGTCCGGCGACCGGGGTACAATCTAATGCATTTTCCATCGCATATTTCATTATCAATTTGCATTGAAATCAATTTTGGTGCGCATCCCAAAATTATACGCGGTGAGCACTGAGCGGAATGTGGCCAATGGCCGAGAACCAATCGCATTTAGACGGTTTGCATAGTTTGTGGGCATCATTCGAGCCAAACTAAACATATTGAACAATGTTCGGCCTGCCTGAACTTCGGATGCATTTTAACTGATTAGATTGATCAAATGTTGGCCACTGAGGAGGGGCGAGGTCAATATGTGCACGATGACTGCAAACTGGGCTACGGCCACAGAACAGTTTCGTATTTTGAATGGGTCACTGAGTGATTGGTTAGGGGAGAAAGGGGATTAATTTTTTATATAAAGAGGCAAATACATTTGAAATAAATTAAGCAGTTCCGAAAAGTGAATTTAATGCTAAGAAATAATTTTTGGGTATTTATAAACCTACAAAACTAAAAGGCATTTATTGAAATGTATAAAACTATTTTGAACTTACAGTTGGATATCTTATGGATCTGCAATGAAAGATAAAAATTTATAATTAGTATGTTTTGTTTAAACAAAAATAATTTACAAATAATAATGATTTAAAAGAACATGAACCTGACTAATTCATTTTGCTAGTTAAGATCGAACTTATAACATAATATAAAAGAAAATATTGACAAAAGAGAGATAATGTTTCTAGTAAAATGTTGGAAGATTTTAGGATTGGTAGATTTTAAGCAACAACTATATATATTCTTAATCACAATTCAAGATGTAATTTTTCCTTAAAACAACAAATCGATCAGAGCTTCCTGTCCCTCTGTCTGTATCTGTTACCTTTTCTCTTTCTTTCTCTCTCTCTCTGTCTCTCTCTCTCTCTCTCTCTCTCTTTCTCCAGAGCTCCCTGTCCCTCTGTCTGTACCTGTTACCATCTCTCTTTCTCTCTCTCTCTCACTCTCTCACTCCCTCTAACTCTCTTCAACTCTCTAGTTTTCGGTATGCCTATCTCTTCCTCTGTGTATCTCTTGAGATATGTATCTGTAACTCCACAGATCTCTATTTCGCTCTCACTTTCTCTTTTCTCTTGCCTCGGGAAGTATAAATAGAGGCACTTCGTTCGCCGCGACCTCAGTCTGTCCTAGGGGTACCTAGTGTTTACATCGATAGTGATAGTGGCAGTGATCTAATAATTACCCTTCGACCGCTGACGTGTCATCTGGCCAATGGAATACATCTGGATAACCAGGAAGTGATGTTCTATGTCAAGATTATCCTAATTCAAGTATTTGTTACATATATCTTACATATCATATCTATAACTTGTACATATCACCATCAAATTACAAATAATCTTTATACTTTAAAAAATACTTCCTGTGCATAAATACAGCCCTAAATTAATTATTCATCTTATTCGATTTTGACCAAGCTCTTAAGACCAAATGGCCTAATCGAAAAGTCCCCCTAACCCTGCTCCAGTTACCTACTTATGTACATCCTTTACCCATATGTGCGACACTCTCAACAACATACACTCACACACCATTCCAAAAACCCAACATACACACACAAATCAGGGTATACTTTGTACTATACACACACCCACAACCCTCGAATACTGACAATGGGCAAAATCTATAAACTATTGAATTGCAAATTGCGTATAAAGTCAAAAGAACATTTTTGCAATGTAAATTAACAGCCAACGAGAGAGAGCAAGAGGAATCAGAAATCAGAAATCGGAAAAAAGAGAGGAGAATATTGGAAGAGGAGGTACTTCAGTGTAAGAACAACTAGAATGGGAAGACCACAGTCATTTGATGCCATACCGCACACTCCCCTTCCCTGAATAGCTTTGCTATGAAATAATCCGCAACGACAAATATGCGCGCTGTTTTATGTATGTATGTGTATGTGTTGGCCATGTTCATTCGCATGTGTGTGTGAGTGTGTTGGCCAGTTGGTTAGCCAAGTATCGCACAAAGCCGTGTGCTGTGCAAGTATTTTGTATTTTTGGAGCCAGTTACCCAGACGCCAACAACAGCCACCGACAGCAGCAGCAGCAGCAGCAACAACAAAAGGCACTAACAGCCAGTGGCAAACCACACACATAAACCGGTCCAACGAAATTCCAGACAGTCGCCGTCGTCGTCGTCGCCAAAAGAGCAGCTTCAGCAACAGCTTCAACATCTCCCAGCCTCCGTTTCCCCCCCTGTTGGGGCCCTGACTTTGGGTCTTTGGGCCCGAAGACCCCCAAAGACATGAGCAACGGCAGCCGGCACAAAATGTCAAGCGAGTGAACGGTTTTCAGATAGTGGGAAAAGAAGTATCGATATAGGAAAAACAACAGCAAATTTAATATACAGTTTGCAGTCTTTAATAAATATATCATAAATATAGAGAAATATTGTTAAGAAAACTAAAGATAATTGCTATATTTGGTACATCAAACACTCAAACGATAATTGATACTAAAATATAGGCTCAATAGAAATGTAAAGTAAAGAACAAAAATAAATTGAACTAAAATCTTTTTTGACATGACTTTTTAATTAAAATATAAGTTTAATTAAGACCAATTTAAGTATTTATTTATTACCAAATCTCTGCTAATGCTTAACTCATTAATATTTCATACAATACCATTAATAAGTTTTATTTGGCTAAAAGCTAGAAATACTGCATTTATAGACATGACTTTTTAAATAAAGTAATGGACCTATAAATGTAAATTTTAAATAAAATAATAGGTCCTATGTATATATTTATTTGTTTACTAAATAAATATGTTAACTAAGTAAGTAATATAGTACAATACCCTAGTTACTTGACTGACAACTTGTAGTAATCTTCTGTAAACATTATTTGCTAACATGTTGGCTTTTAAAAGTAAAAAAATTAATAGTTAAATCTAGCAGTAGATTAATTAAATAAAAATCTATTATAAAATCTATATATATATATATATATATATATATAATCTATTCCAATTGGGGTTCCTTCCTTTTTCGTACAGTGTGAAAATGCTATGGTGCAAAAAATCACAGAAGAGAAAAAGATCCCAACCAGAGACAACTCGTCAAGTTACATAGATTAGAAACCAGCAGCATAAAAAAATAACCAAAACAGCTATTAGAGAGGGGAATAACTTTGGCTTGGAAAAGAAACTCATTCCTTTTGATCAAGAATCCCAATTCTCAAATATATATAATAATATATATATCCTTCGTAATGGCAGAGTTTATTAAATGTTTCGTCATGGTCTTTATCTAAATCTTCAATTACTATACCAAATCATATTTCAATATCCTTAATGGATCTTTAATGGAATGTGGAAGTATTTTCAACAAAGGCAAAGAAAAAAAATTAATAAAAGCCGACATACGCAGGCAAGTACGCTTACTAACACACTCACATAATACACACATACATATATCAGTTATATAATCACGGTTTTTTTTTTTCTCTTTTTCCTCAAAGCCGGCGACAACTCCAAACGAATGGCGACGGGCAAATTTGTTGTAATCAATATGAACTGGCGTCTGGCGGCTGCCTCAGATAACTCCACACACACACACAGGCCATAAACGGAGTGTGTATATGTGTGTGTGCGAAAAACAGATTTGTGAAAAATGCGGAAAATGGCAAAGAAATGAAATCGATGGATCCACAATCCACAGCAGGAACCATTGCGTTATATTGCAAAATATAAGTGTACCTTGGAGGCAGTCAAAGGGAAAGAGAGGTGTGGCACATACCATCTTGTGATTTCAATGTGTGTCTGTGTGTGTTGTGAGTGTGTGTGTGTGTGTGTTACATGCGTCAGCCATTATGATAAATCGCACCTTTTATTGCAGCATCAGCGCCGTGGTAACTGATTCACAAAAAAAGGGTAGCCCGAGGCTGGGATTCAGTTTTAGTTGGTTTCGTGTTGGATTCTGGCCAAATCGTTAAGGTATTAGAGAACTAAAAAAAACAGATACCAAGCAGATAACAAAAAAAAAAAAAAAATAGCGCCCTAATGATGATCGATTTGATATTAATTAACTGTATAGAAAACGCGAATAAAATGTTCCAAAGATATTAGGGAGAGTTCTGTGATTTTGATTTAAATTATTACAGCATAAACAAATATCTAAAATTATTAAGAAATTAAAATTAAATTCCCTTACTTAATTAAGACATAATCTAGCTCTATGTTTATATTTCTTGCTAGAGCAAAACATGTTTGCTTTAAGTTCAAAAAATTCTTTGTGAAATATCTTTATTTTTCTTGCTGAAGAGCTTAAGCTGCCAAAGAAAGATGTGTAGAGTGAAGGGTGTTGTGTGAGCGTGACATCATTCAACGATTACAACGACATTGTCGCTTTTCCTCAACCTCGGTGGCAGCAGCTTCTTCTTTTTCTTTTTAGCTGACTTATATCTGGTAAGCTGTATACCTCTCCCCCCATAACCATATTCATACCCCATCCTCACAGCTTTTCTGTGTGCGTTGCTGCAATTACGAATACATATTTTTGATAGACTTGCTTAAGTCAAGCAAAAAAATGTGATAAACGACCAGCTAAAAGGAGGAAATGTGTGTGCGGGGATTGTATACAGCAAGTGGAGCAATTTTTATAACAGAAACCCACATAACATATATATATACTTAAAACCCTCCAGGGAAAATAGCGCAAACAAAAACAAAATGACACTGAAGCGAGGTACTTGCAAAGGAAATCCAAGGGGAAATATTCGAAAAGTGGTTTGAAAGAGAGCCCAAGGGTTGAAGGGAATAGAATTAAAGAGATCACTTGACTTGGGATCTATTTTATGTTCGCTTGAGTTCATTATATATCTTTAGCTGATAAGTTAAATGGTTTATGTCTTAAAGCACTTGAAAATTTGAGGGGAGATACTTTTGTATAAAGAGGAAACATTATTATTTTCCCAATAATTCAGATAATAGGTTTATTAAGAAATCTCAAGAACTAACAAACTTGAAATTCAAATTTTTAGAATATTATTTCATACGACATTTTCCATCACGTATTTCAAGACAAAGTTAAAAATGCATTTCCCTTTGAATTTGTAACAATATTTTTGGGGCAACTTTGTTGACTTTGGAACATGTGAGAATTTGAAAGTTTTTGGCAGCGAACCGCTCCCTGATGCATGACCAACCAACACCACCCACAACCACCTACCACCTCCCCCTCAAAATCAACTCCATCGAACTGAATTCCGTGCATCTCTCCCGCCTGCCACCCATCAATATGTTACCTCAAAATGTTTTTGCTGTCGCATTGCCCCATTAAACATTCATCATTTTCCATGGCCATTCGTCATCAGTGCGTGGAAAAGTTAACGCCAAGAGAAGTTTGTGGGAAAATGGGGAAGTGCAGTAAAAACAAAACTATAAAAAGGAACGCCACATCGGTCAGCAGACCAGCACAGACACAGTCCACAGGAAAATAGCGAAAAACTCTCAGTACGCTGACACACTCGGCACAAATCCACAAACATTTATCGAAATATTTCACAC